TTAGTAATGTCAACGCGATTGGGAAAGCGTGAATCCGAGGAAAATTAATCGATTGAAAATCACGATCGAATGTCGTTCATATATACAGAGTAATAAAAATTAAAAATATTCAGGTATGCTATTCTCGACATTTGTTATTCGGAAATAATATGGGGTATATAGTGTGATACCACAGAATTGTATAAATTTCCATGCACTCGCGCGTGCATTAATATTACTTTTTAATCAATTGAATTTATTTAGTCGATTTTATTTTAACAGAATGTGCTTCATTAATCTTTCGATTTTTCCAATGTTTAGAGCAACGGGGATTACATTTCGAATGCCATAATATTATAGGTTGCATTAATAATAATCCCTTTATCGGTTAATTTGTTTTATTTAAAGATGCTGCAAAATCCCGGTGCACGCGTGTATTCGAATCCAATTTCCATGAAAGTGATTATAAAATAGCAGACACATGTTTACACTTATACATCGAACGGATCGCGATCGGAGAAGTTTACGTTATTCCAAGCTCTCGAATCCATTTGTAATTAAACTTTGATGAATATGAATAAACGACGCGATATGGGGTATGACGTTATTGCCGTAGGAACCGAACACGCACGCTCTATCTCTTCCCGGTCGCATGTGGGTTAATTGATATGCAGGAGATGCACAATATATACGGGTGTATACGTTCAATCATTTTATACATCTTTAGCCGTAAGCAACGTATCGCGTCCGCCCCTCGATGCGAACGCTAATATCGATAATTAAATTTCTACCTATTCGGTGGCTCGATTGTTTTAGAAGTCCCATAATAAATTCTTTCCGCGTGAAGACAAAGACAAAAGAGATATTTATAGCGCGAAATATTATTATACTCTCTTTATACATAGAGCGTGCTCGAAAGCCTCGAATTTCCTTTCAACTCTCAACATGTTCGGCAAAATTTGACAGACAGCGAGTTTTGGAACGAACCGGCTCGGATATACATATATATTTTTGCATTTTATTACATCCTTGGAATTTTTACAGCCAAATAAAAAGCATGTTATTCACGAGTAGCGAGATATCTGTCCGACACCCGGCAGAAGATGGATGAGTTCCGAGCGCGATGCTCGAGGAAAAAAGGAGGAGTATGTTAGACAATTATCATAGTAGGTCGATGAAGGTGACTCGTGCAAGCCGCGGAGCTCTGTACATACATACATAACATCGGAATTATAGGCCCTCGGCACGCTATCTTAAAGAGTACTACGCGGCGGCAATCGTCTATCCGCCTTCGTTAATGCCGCGCGCTCGTCCCGTTGCTTAACGAGGCAACACGCTCAATAATAAATTACCTGTACAAACAACGAGAGCGCACCGCTAGATCGATCGTTGGATCGTAGCAATTACCGGTCCCGTTCAAACCGCAGATACGCAAAGTTTGTCCTTCTGTCTCGCGCCGTTTTTTTTTTTGTTTATTTTTTAGGTGACGATTAAAGATGTTTGGACTGTATAATAATAGCAAAAAACTGTCGAAATAAAAAAAAAACAACGTATTTCTTACATTTATATTCCTTGGAAAATCAAACAAATAGATTTGGATTTAAAAAAGAATTAAAATATCACAAAATAATATGATTTTCAACGTCTTTATAAAAAAAAAAAATAATTGTAATTAATATTTTTTCTAATTTATGACAAAAACTTTTGGTCGTGAATATCCCCTGAAATCAACTGCGAGAAACAAAAAAAACGAGTAATTTACAGGAAGATTTATGGTTACTATAAGTATTTTGCTACAATTTTTTGTAAATAACTTTTAAACGAGTAAGTGGATCTAAATCAAATTTTGCAGAAATATTTATTAGAGTATTGTTAATAAATATATGAAAATTTTTATTTAGCTGGCAATGTTTTTTTCTTGTCAAAGTTGTCAATAAATGCTACAATACGCGATTTTTCATAAGAATCAATACAAACTTTAAATAATTTCCAAATTGTTAAGAAAATTGTGCCCAGGTTTTGTATAGATACTCAGAAGAAATAGTCTATATAATAGTACAACAGTCTACAAAATTTTCATGCTTTTGTCAATGTTTTGACATATGACATATAAATCCTTAAGATTCGGGATGAAAAATGAGAGTTTTTAAAACGTTGGCCAAATCGTAGAGAAATGAATTTCTGTGCGCGAAAGACTAGAGTGCAAGTAAATCTCTATTGAAATCCCTTTTACGAACATTCGTTAAGCTGTATTTGCGACTATTATCCTACATCATGCATAATTACAAATTCAGTTGCACAAGAATTATATGTTATCTCTTTTAATATATTAAAAAAATATACTCTATATTTCAGAAATTATGTTTGTGCATATTCAGCAAAATACGTTGTTAGAGAACTAAAATTAGTATTTATGTACATCTATCTATCTTTAATATAATTAATCTTCATATATAAAATCTATAAAATTTATTGCATTTATTGAAACCATCAATCTAGATAATTCTAGATAATTAACGCCAAATTTTATATATACATATATTAGAAGTAAAATCTTTTTTTATATAGTTACTTTACGTTTAATGATAGCTCTTTTTACATAGGTTCACATAATATATCCAGAATACTATTGTCACACAATAGAGATAATTATATAATTTTTTTATATTATGAAAGAATTATATTTTCTATAAGCATAGTGTTTATACTCATTCTTCGTAATAATAATATTAAATATTATTACTGCAAAGAATAAAAATTAATATTTTTAATGAATGATTTATAGAATGAAAATTTTGACAAACCGATATTTAACTTTATGAGGTAATAATTATTATGCATCTCTTTTATGTGTATATAATTGATGTACCATATATTTTAATTTAAATACTTCATTTTATATTAATTGATCTGTCATATCATACAATGTTATAAATAAATAAACAAATGTAAAATAAGTAAATGAAAAATTAATTTATTTATTATGTAAAAATATCTCAGTTTTATTGAATGTGTAATCATTGCAACGTCATTTCTCTGAAACAATTAACATTTAATATATAATTATAATTTATACTGAATTTCTATTAAAAACTGAAGATATAATGTTAAAAAAATCTCGGATGTAATTTGTTGAAGGTTCAATATTAAAGTTCTAATCAATTTCACTGTATTTTTCAGAAAATTTCGTTCATGATGGTTTTAATGATGAATTTTTCATTAAATTTTTCATTAAAAGCGATAAGATAGTTATCATACACACAAAAATGTTCTCTATGAATATTTTTAAACTAAATCGCCGCGGGATATACGCAATTTTGATCGATAAATATCACGAGCGGTTAGACATATATATTTTGATAATATATATATTCTTGTGCAAGTTTGTTTAAGTATAAAGTTACGCTTCGCAACGTTGGCGATCAGTAACGTAGCTGTCTAATGTATCACGCCTCCATAGTTTGTCGAGTAATTTATCAGTTTGACTAAACTCAAATGGCATATAGTAGCGCAACGAATAGTTTGTCCTTTCGTGGAGGAAAAAACAGGTAAGAGTTTTTTCTATTATTCCGAGAACCTAGACAAAGTTCTCTAGGTGACGCACGAGCTGGCACGCAACGCAATGCATAGTCATAATGCAATTTATGTCACATTTCATTTATCAAGTATTTTTTTCGCGTAAGGCTTATATCGGTGTCGGATAAGCATTTGTGTATTATATTTATATATCAAGTTTGATACGATCTAGATTATCATTAATGAAGACTTATTAATATAAATTTTACGTCACATAACATGATGCGTTTCAAAACTATCATACTTCCTTTCTTATTTATTTCGACATTTTGTTCACGTTATCTTTAATGTTATATATATATATACTGTTGGAAAATTTGTGTTTTTTTCTTGTAAAAAAGTATAATATATAATTTTTATGTTAAATATTTAATACATTCATATGTTAATTTAACATATTGCTGTTGTGTCAATTGAACTGAAATGTTAATTTATTAAAAGACCTGAATAAAGTGTAAAAATAACACAATGTGCACATTATCATATGTGACAGGATTTATCTATTAAAATTTATAGAAAAAAATGTTAATTTTATTCTACAATAGGAATGGGAGCGACTACAGACCATCAATAAGATTTTTTCAAGTTATAATTTTATTATGAAAAATATGTTGATTTTACACAAAATTTATTTTAAATTACTATGAAGTTTGCATTCATCTTGCGTTGAAATATTAACGTAGTAGCAGTATTAAACATATTATTAAACCATTTATTAATACCATTTAACATATTGTTAAATATTATTTAATCCGTCTTATTTAATATATCCATATTATTTAATATTATAATTTCATATTAAATTTATTCATATTAAATTAACGCAAAAATTTGTGTGTATCGTTTGGGACATGCGATATATGTTAAATGTAAGCCAAATTTTTCAACAGTGTATCAATCGTAATTACGTTTCTTCTTATCTCTCTCTATTCGCGCAAGAAAACAGATTCCATTATCTTATAAGAATCTATGGCGGGAAGGGAAGTATAATAGTTCCAAGACATTCTATACTAACTTTGTTCTTCGGTGATTACCATAAGCGCATCACGAAACGTCCGAAAGTTCGGTATATTCTTTTTAGTGGTGCAAGAATGTTTAAGTTTGAAGCTCTTTAAAAGGAGAGAATAACGGGCGTGCATTTGATGAAGAATCTAAAGTCGCTTTAAATATAAATCTGACTTTAATATATGACGTTCTATCCTCCCGATTAATCAAGTTGTTCATCTAAACGAAATTTTGTAATAGAACAAAGTTTTGTCCAGCTCGCGATATAATGCTGAGTGCAATGAAGAATTTAAAGTTGCCGTAGATATTAATCTGACTATAACGTATTACGTCCTACGTGTCTTTCGACTCGACATGCTCATCTGGACGCAAGTTAATACGATAGAACTAAACCCCGATTGATTTATCTTGTATACAATGCAAAATGTCTTTTTTTGCAGGTTCATGGTGGTATTGGTGTGCCTCATATTTAGCGTTTTGTCAACGATAGACCAATACAGTAATTTCGCAAACGAAACTCTGTTTTGGATGGTGAGTAAAATATGTTTGTTATTAAATATAATAGGATATAGAATGTACAATTATAAATAATTAAAATTAATATAAATAATTATTTATATAATAATAATAATATATATGTATAATAAATTATATGAAGGGAGCTAAATTCCCACAAATAGTCATTTAATTTCAATCATTTTCAATGTAGAAAAACTATATTTTAATATTTTTCTTTAGACAAGATCGACTTGAGATCGAAGAACCCGTAGACATATAAAAGCTATATACATATATATTTTTTATATAAATTTTGCTTCCTCATAGAGGAAGCTTTGTTTCCGTGACAAAATTTTTTTTCGAGTTTTCTATGCCAATGTGTTTAGAATGTTCCAAAACGTCGAAAAAGCATATTCCTAAAAAATGTCTGTATGTATGTATGTATGTATGTGTGTATGTGTGTATGATGTATGTACGCAATATATTGTACAACCTCTAACTTTTTTTTTTCTATCCATATCAAAAATTCAATCTCATTGTTTTATCAAGAGGGAGGAGTTAAATATTGCATATTACATGAAAAGAATGATTTGCAAAGTGCAAACATTAAATAAGGATTAGAGTTTCTCAGACAAGTGTTTTGCAGTATTTTATAAAGAGATATAAGGCAAATTTGTGTCATTTAATTAATACTTGAAAAGGAAAGTTTACATTTGTTGGCCCACCCGAGAATATACTTTATAACAAAGTTTCGGACAAATTTTTTTTTCCTTTTGTCACAAATAAAATATTTATTTTTCCTCTCATCTTATATTAAAAAAAGAAGAAGTCCAACTTTTCGAGAAAGTTTCGTACAATCTATACTATTATAAAGTTATACATAAATCGTATAAAATCATCGATTCAAAAAATCAACATTGTTCGTGAATCAATATTTCGCGTTATAAAAAAATTGGGCGATATTTTCAACTTCTCGTAACGCAAGTTAAGCGGACGTAAAGCACGAAGTTCGTCTGAGTTCTGAGTTATAAAAGAGTACATATAGTAAGCCGGCGGTTCTCAAGGATCTCTTCCGCCTCGTTGCGATTCTAACGTCGACGTCCTCGTCTTTCTAGGGCGTCCTGTTGATACAACGGCACTAGTACAATCGATACAATAGCTGCCTGAATTCATACGCTATCGCGTAGTTCATTGCATATTCATCTTAACGATATGATTAACCGACGTCTATACTAATCTACGTAACCGTCGCGTGCAATTTCTTTTTTTAATTTTTTTTTATTTATTTATTTATTTTTTCCTACCGGCATTGGATAATTAAACCAAATTGTCAATTACATTATCGAAATATTTGATCATTTTCGATTGAATGTCACATGTGTCGATAGCTAATAATGTTTTTTCAACTACGCGTTGTGCGATATATGGGCGTATATCAGTTAATCGGATCGCGTGTATTTAAGCATGTATAGGATTAATATATTTTTTTTTATAAAATTTTGTTTTTATTGATAACACAATAGTATAAAACGAGATATCTGTCTCTATATCACACATTTTAAAAGGACGAAAAGAAAAATATATAAGTACATAAATGGAAAGAAACAAAATAAACTTTCTTAAGCTTCTTATCTCTCTTTGCTTTTGTTACTTTTATAAAGCGTGAAGAGATAGACATCTTACTTTAAATATAAAAAGTATACTTTCTCGTAAGTCTAAAAAACTTTTCTATATTTATTTATAACAATGTAACTCTTTTAGATGTTAATCTGAAAAATAATCGGTATAAAAAAAATTGTTTTTGAGAAAAAGTATGTAATTATTTACAATGTATTTTTTTAACAAATATTTGTTTTTTTTTTACACTAATTGATTTGTCTCATTATTCTGTACATAAAAATATTACGGTAAGATTATCGAAAACTAAATATTTTACAAGATATTTTATTTTTTATATCAAAATATGTCAGATTAAGATATAAAATAACTTGAAAAATACTTGATGAAAAAATACTTTATTATAGTGTTTTGAAAAGGCTTCGACAAGGGCTATAAGAATATGCAATAAAAAATAAAGATTTGAATTTAAAAAATTCAATGTGACCTTGATATGACCTTAACAATGCCACCCAAGGGTCTAACTAATATTCATATCTCTTTTCTCTCTCAGAACCAAACAACTTTTGTCTAAAAAGTCTCCTTCTAAAACTTACAGGTTTTGAGATATTTGCCTGTTAAGATTAAAAAGACTCACCCTGTATATTGAAATACAAGTTCTATCTCTTCTCTTCTATGTATATGTATATCTATCTGTTTTATTCGGTAAACAATATGTTTGTGTCTCGACAACAGTGCGTGTCAGGCAATTGATTTAATCAGGCCGCGCAAATATATTCGGTCGGAATCAAAACACACATATGTAACAAAGGTGTGCGAACGAGTATGAAATATTTGAATGATTATGACACCGTCCAAATAAGCATGCTCTAAAAATAAAATTTTTTTCAATCAAGTAAATACATTTTGTTAATTTTGATTTTTTTACTCAAATGAATATATATTTTATTTCCAAAAATGTTTTGTTATATTAAATAAATTATTATTTGTAATAAAAATTATAATTTTTACAATCAATTATTTAAAATTTTAATATAAAAAATATTTATTTGAAGATAAACTTTTTATAATTTTATGATTCTTTGAAAGATTATTTAAAATTTTAATATAAAAAAATTCTTATATTTGAAAATAAAAAATTATTTATTAAAATAAAGAAATCCTGTGTTTTTTAAACAAGCAGCCAAAATTTAAAAAATGTTTTTTTTTTTAAGTAATTTATAATAAAAATAAAAAAAAAACAAATTCTTTTTTTTATTTGCAAATAAAAGCTTACTTTTCTTTTATTTTATATATTTTACTAATTCAAATATATTTGCTGCTTGATTGAAATAACTAATTTCTTCGCAAATATTTAAATAAATAATTTTTTTAAATCAAAACAATTTTTTTCGATTTAATACATTTTTTTTCAGTGTAACTGATCTGAATTATTCTTGATCACTGTTCAGGAAATATGTCTCGTGGTATTCTTCGGGGTCGAGTACATGGTTCGATTATGGAGCGCAGGCTGCAGATCGAAGTACATGGGTTGCTGCGGACGGCTGCGATTCATACGGAAACCGATTTGTATCATAGGTGAGTTTATGCGGGCGCGTTCTCATCTCTTAATGGCAAGCCGCGATTTGCGACCCGAAATGTATGTTATGTGTATGGCCGAAATTAATCCGATATTCGCATTGTCCGATCGACGGTGCAAAATTGGATCGTGAGAATCGTCCCTTTGTATTCGCGTAGGTGTCGCTCGTTGAACCGTTTGCACGACCAACTTTGCGAGATTAGGCCCTGGCCCTAATATCGACTCCATTTCGCTGAAATCAAGATTGCGGGCGCTTTGTGTATATCGCGGCTGTGTCGTTCTGCCGGGCGCGTTTCACAAATGAAGCACACGCGAACAATCCGCGGCGGAAAATTTCTCTCTTAATTGCAGACCCAACTAAAAATTGGTTATTCGCCCCCCGCTTTAAATTTCATTTTATTATTATGTACGTTGGGGATGAATATATTACAGAAATTTTTTCAAATATTATGAGAAATAAAAGGAAAGGAAATTTTTTTTTATATAAAGTATATTATAATTAACTTAAATTATCAATTATTTTAATTTACTTATGATTTATAAATTATCCATGCATTATTTGTAACTTGCTAACAATAATGCCGAGAAATAATATGCTCGAGAAAAATTCTCCGAATATCGCAGTTGATGTAAATCAGTGCTCCGAATTGACCATACTTTTGAACTGATTTTCGTACATCACAGCTATGTGTGATAAAATTTATAGAAATTTCAATCCCCCGCAATATATAGTAGATTAACCGCGTTTCTCGATTAATACGCCGCATATATATTATTCCATCCCAAATAATTAAGGGTATGCACTATATCTTGTTTCATTTTATCTGTAACCGCTAAAATATGGAATGATAATCGCAATGTGGGAAATAGATCATTATTATTACTAGACCGGTTGCGAAAAGGCGACCGGAATTACACGCGTTTTACATCCACAATTTTGTCAGCGCGTGCGGATGTGTGGCGAGAGAATTATTGTTTTCAATCGGCAATGGGTATCGGGCAAATGAATTTTGTAGATAAATGGTAACGTCGGATTAAACATTAATAATCGGATTACGCGCTATGCGTTCATCGATTATACGTATATACTTAATCAATACTCTATACAGGCTGATGGGAAATATTTATTGTATTTTAATGAATGCACACATACAGAAACACTATGCACTATCTGTAATTACATATATATATATGTATTATATACACGAATTTATCGGATTATTCCTTTATATTTTACCACATACTCCTTTTATCTATTTTTAGATTTAATCGTTGTGGTAGCGTCCATGGTAGTTTTGTCGGTGGGAAGCAACGGTCAGGTATTCGCCACTTCTGCTATCAGGGGTATTCGATTTTTGCAAATTCTTCGAATGCTTCATGTCGATCGTCAGGGTGGCACGTGGCGGCTCTTGGGCTCCGTGGTTTTCATACATCGTCAGGTACATCATCGCGAAAAGTTTTTCATTTTAATATCTCGATGTACGAAGACAAAATCTTAACAATGATTATATATATAATTATCTTTAGAAAATTAAGCATGTGTGTGTGTGTGTGTGAATGTGCAAAATATATATTTTTTATTTTCATATTTATAAAATAAAAAATATTTTTATTAATACATTGAAAATAAAATCTTTTTTAATCAAATAAATACATTTTATTAATTTTAATTGTAAATACATGAAGGACAAATTTGAACAATGATTGTAATTATCTTTAGAAAATTAAGCACGTGTGTGTATGTGAATGTGTGCAAAATATATATTTTTTATTTTTATATTTATAAAATAGCGCGATAAGCAATGCGCAAATTTCTTGATAATTAAAATTTTTTTATTGAGATGAACATTTTGATCCTATATTTCGAACTATTTTCAGCATCTGTTAATTACAACAAATGTATACAATGTGGATTGTCAACTATAAATGTGACGACAAAAATACAAGGAATCAAATTAAAATTATATAAGTTACGTACGAGATATAAAATTAATGAAGTATACATCTGTCAAAGACACTTAGTAACTCCCTGATGGACGAATATATTCAGCCTCCTTCCAATACCAGCTGTAAAGGACATGTTTCTTTTTTCTTTATTTGCAAATAAAATCATACTTTGCCTTATTTTATATTTTATTAATTTAAATATATTTGCTGCTTGATTGAAATAGCTAATTTCTTTGCAAATATTTAAATAAATAATTTTTTTTAATCAAAAAGAATTTTCTTAGATTTAGTATTTTTTTTTTAGTACGCGAAAAGTTTTTAGTGTAAATACATGAAGGACAAATTTGAACAATGATTGTAATTATCTTTAGAAAATTAAGCACGTGTGTGTATGTGAATGTGTGCAAAATATATATTTTTTATTTTTATATTTATAAAATACAAAATATTTTTGTTAATACTCTTTGCAAAATTGATCATATTTTTTTCATATAACAGGAGCTGATCACAACGCTGTACATTGGATTCTTGGGCCTCATTTTCAGCAGTTACTTCGTGTACCTTGCCGAAAAAGATGCAGTCGGACCCGACGGCAAAACAGACTTCTCCAGTTACGCCGATGCGCTGTGGTGGGGAGTGGTAAGTATGTCTCTATCATTACGGATTTTTTTATCAGACATCTCTTATATCAGCATGTAATTTCACGGTAACCCATTGTTGGAGCAAAAAAAGAATCTTTTGATTACTGAAATACACTCGAAGCGCAGAAGATATAGAATTCAATAGGAAAGAAAAGGGAACCTTTTTTCTTCAATGGAATAAAGAATTTGCAATAAAGAATTAAATCAATTAATAAAATTCTATGAATTCTACAAATCATTAAATCGATCAAATTTTATGAAAAAAAATATAAGTCACTTGTGAAGAAAGATAGTGACGTGGTTAATCAGCCACGAAAAATTGCAAGAAGATTGAATGGTAGTAATCGCGGATACGTTCAAATCGCAATCATATCGATGGCATGCAGACAATTGAAATCATTACTTATACAGGCTGCATGCAATGCACGCAGATCACTTATCGGAGCGATAATATACGCTAATTAATAGGATTAACTGACTGGATTTCACGGGTTAACAAACGTGTTGACAAACGAGACGTCAATTGTTTGCCTAGCAAAACCCTTCAGGCTTAAACCTGTAAAGACACACATTGTACCATACATACATAATAATTTTACTTGTATTACAGATCACAGTAACGACGATAGGTTATGGTGATACGGTCCCGCAAACGTGGATGGGAAAAATTGTGGCTTCATGTTTCAGCGTGTTTGCCATATCCTTTTTCGCACTTCCAGCTGTGAGTACATATTTTTTCTTATGATATATACATATATATATTTCAAATTTTGTTTATCGTTCATGGATTTTTTGCTTCAACTAATTAAAAATCGATTTTTTTTTAAATGAAAATATCTACAAAAATTATAATTTTTTGTTGCTATTTTATTAATTTGTAGTGTTATATACATATCTTTGCAATTAAGCCTTATATTACTTTTTTGATTAGGTTAATTCAATTCAATAGAAATTCTATCAAATCTGCTTTAAATTAAACAAGGATTATTATAAAAACAGAATATAAAAATAAGGCTCTTAACGAATAAAATCAAGAATGTTAAAATAATGGCAAAAAGAGCCAAGTGCGGTAATCAAGGGCGCATAAATTTATTACAAAAGAATTACATCAAAATATCTAACTCGCGGACGTTTCGGTCCTTTTTTGGCCATCATCAGCGCATCAAATAATAAAATTATAACTAAATAAATATAACAGGGTTTTAAGCGGTTGAACGCGCATAGTTACAAAGATGATAGTAGTAAATAGTGTGATTCTCTCAGGTCATCAGCAAACGACAAAATCATTCTCTCAAGTATCCATATCAAAGAGAAATCCTCGATTCTTAAGCCGTAAATTGAACACATGGCGATACGTTGAATATTAATTGAGTCTGTAAAAAGAGGAGCAACCTATGTCGGAAAATGACTAAAGAGATCTATGTTGTAAATATCTAGGTTAAAGATTATTATTTTATTATTATCTGTTTCTCTAGACCTTTCTCAGTTTTCCAAAAAAATCTTTATTTTTGATTTGTTTTCTTGATTAATTTCGCGTCGATTTCTTCTGTACAATAATGTCATCAATAAGATATTTATAGTTTTTGAATTACAAACAATCGAAAATAAAGATTTTTTATGGAAACTGAGAAAGCTCTAAAGAAACAAATAATAAAATAATAATCCTCGTTTAATTTAAAGTAAATTTGATAGAACTTTTATTGAGAATTGAATTAACCTAATTAAAAAAGTAAAATTAAGTTTACAAATATATATATATATATATTTGTAAATAATTGGACCGACTGCCTCCACGCTAATTCAAATAAAGCGCAAGCAAATCATTGACTACATTTACAAGTCATCTTTATAATCGGGTTTAATAACATCCGTAGTTTTAAAATTGACCAATCACAGCTATTCCTCTGAAGAATAGAATGACTGTGATTGGCTAGTTTTAGAACTATACACGAATGTTATTAAATCCGATTAAGGGTGAAGTGTAACGTAATTATTATCACAAGTGGATTTTTTTCCTATCTCTTTTAGGGTATCCTAGGTTCCGGCTTCGCGTTGAAAGTACAGCAGAAACAACGGCAGAAGCATTTCAATCGACAGATACCGGCTGCCGCGATGTTAATACAATGCCTGTGGAGGTGCTACGCCGCCGACAAGGCCATCAACAGCGTCGCCACGTGGAATATCTACATCAAGGACCCGGCACCGGCCGGCCAGCCCTCGACGCCCCTTGGCAAGGTAACGTTTCCCCGTTTGCGAGTATAGCGGAGAGCGGGAGAGAAAAGTAGCCGTATTAGCTGTTGACTGTTGATGTTCTTAGCTGCTTATATAATGTTCCTTGGCGTGTTTTAACTGACCGTGCCGCGGGCGATTACCGTGTCACAACCGAGACGGATCTAATCCGTCGCGAATCTCGTAATCACCCCGTCGAGGTCTGCGGAAAAACCGCAAAACTCCTTCCCTTTCCCTCCTCCCCTTTATCGAGCACACGCTAATGGATTTGAAATTATTCATTGTATTTCACCCAATCCGTAGATCGTATATCTCCGAGATAATTGCTTCTAAGATCTCCCGACTTTTACCGCGATTATACAGGGTGTCCGACAAATAAGTAACCAAACGAAAGGTGGAGGTAGATTGGGCCAAACTGAGTCGAAAAGTCCTGAAGCATTTTTTTTATAACGCTTAATAAAAGAATTATTATTAAGTAAAGTCTGGCCAATCAGCGCCTACCTTTAACCGGGCGCACGTCAGTAAGCCGCGCGCCGTGAAGTGTGCGCTGCCACATACTGGGTGCTTTCCATTTAGTGACTCAAGTCGACACAAGTATCGTTCTATCTTCTTTCAATACCAGTGAACAACAAAGATAGAATAATGCTTGTGTCAACTTGAGTCACTAAATGGAAAGCACCCACTATCAGGCGCGCGGCAAACCGACGTGCGCCCGGCTAAAGGTAGGCGCTGATTGGCCAGACTTTACTCAATAATAACTCCTTTATTAAGCGTTATAAAAAAAATGGTTCAGGACTTTTCGACTTAGTTTGACCCAATCTACCTCCACCTTTCGTTTGGTCACTTACTTGTCGGACACCCTGTATATACGTTCTCGCGCGCGATCGGATTATCGAGTAATATCCAGCTTGCCGTTTGTGCTCGCTTCGTATACTACCCTAAGCGGATTTCGAGAAATCAAATTTGTTTTATGTCGTCGATCCGTGGCGCGCGCAAAAAAGCAGCTCGAAAGGATGACATACACGAGATATAAAACAATAATCGCAATTAATTGCAATTAATCGAAACTAAATAATTAAATTTTTAATTAAAACGAATAGGTACTTTGCTTTTTGAAATAAAACTTATATTTGAAACCAAATTTATGTTCAATAATTGAATAATTTCTGATGTAACAGAGACCTTTTATATATCCTTGGCCAGAAATATATATGAAATATTTTTAATTGACAATCGATGAATCAAGCTAATCAGCATTTACAAATTACCGCGTCGAGTTAAATATATATAGGAAATATGAAGTTTATACAAAAAGTGTTTGTTATATTTATTAAATAAAATTGAGAACTAAAAATGAAATTACCACTAACAAATTTGCCACTGATTTTAATTTACTTATTTCTTTTTTATTTAGGTAAAGAGAGTTATTGACTTTTTTAAAAAAGGTCTGGATTTCAAAACATTGTTTAATATGGAACTTAATAGAAAAACAACAAACATTTTGCATACATCAATTTATCGTATAAAGTATAAAAAATTTGTCGTAGTTTTAATTTCGAACGTTCATGAATTTAATTTACTACAATTTGACAGATTTACTCTTCATACTTATGATGACGGCACTATAGAGCTGTCATTAGATTTTGTCTCTCTCATCTCGTGTGCAAATATATTTGAAATACATAATAATGACGTAATATTGAAGCCGCTGCGTAATTTTATTAACAAATATTCACATTGAAAGAAATGTACTAAAACCAAAAAATTTTCTTTGATTTAAAAAAATTATTTGTTTAAATACTTGCAAATGAATTAGTTATTTCAATCAAGCATAAATATTTTTTTATATTAAAATTTTAAATAATGTATTGTAAAAATTATAATTTTTATTATATGCAAAAATAATAAATTGTATGATATTTTTAGTGCAGTATATGCATATATAAGATCGCTCTGTTAAAAGCTTCTACAACAAACCTTTCTTCTCCACGCAATCGCATTCCGCGCACAATGATGAGATTCGCGAGGGAATGATCCGCCGTCTAATATTATCTGTTACTATTATTAATCGTATAACAACGATAACGGTCGTGTGTTTTTACTTGTCCGACGATAATTTGGCAGTGGATGGATGCAAGCGGAGAATGCGAATTTTGCTCGATGTTCTCAATGTGCCGTTATTTACCACCGAGATATTCGAGACAATTTTGATTTGTTTAAATACTTGCAAATGAATTAGTTATTTCAATCAAGCAGCAAATATATTTGAATTAGTAAAATATAGGCAAAGTATGCTTTAATTTGCAAATAAGAAAAAAAAGTTTGTTTTTCTATTTTTATTATACTAAATTACTTCCTTTAAAAAACATTTTTTATTTTTGGGTTGCTTGTTTCAAAAACACAGGTTCTCTTTATTTTAATACCCCCCCCCCCCCCCCCCCCCTTTTACGTATAAAGTAACGAGCATTGCGCTTTGGTTTTCACATTCGTTCGTTTTGATTTCGTTTACAGAAAGTGCGGACGATTCGCCCCCTTTTTTAATGAACTGGTTTTTACCTTTTGAATATATTATATATCCCTCTTATGGTTTTAATAATACTATTTATTAGTTGGAATGCTGAGCACACGGGATATATGTGTATATAAGAAAATATCTTCTAAAAATATTCTTATATAATAAATATTTGTTATAAATTTGTTTTTTTTTTTTACGTGAACGTTAAATGTCGCAATTCCATGCAACGCCAGTCAGCAAAATTTATTGTTTCTGCGTGAGTTGCGCGTGAATAGTTTTATTTTTCTACTTGTAAATTTAGATCTGTAATCTAATACGTGTAAACATAATCACAAATATATATCTATATTCTTTTACACGGTCCCTTAACTGTGATTCTAGCACATTGTATAATATATTAAGAATATCCATGAAAAGTTAATTAATTAATTCTATCATCTACGCGCTTTTTTCATAGAGTATTGTCTTTTTTTTTAAATTTTGTATTTCAAATATTCGCAATTAAGAAATAGCTTCACTAGCTGTCATCCTCGATCAAATTGCTTTTGAATATACGAGTCAAATAACGAACGCGATATTTTTAGAATGACACTTGATTTTTCAATACAGCCGCGTTTGATTTCCATTTTCGATTATTATCGTCGAAATAACTATTATATTTTTGTATTTGTATTTCGCAACGTGTCCAGACATTTGTAAAATTGCTCCAACAATGTAAAACGCAGATACGGACGATGCGTCCGAAACCGCACAATTACAGTGTGTTAAAATAAATTTATATGGCAAGGAAATTTAAAAAAATCCATATTTAATTAGCCTATCGGCACATTTTGCGTACGCTCGATTAACGCGGAGCGATTGTATTCATAGGAATAATATTATCTCCATTTTGCATCTGCTGCCAAAGTTCTCGAACTCCATATCAAAAACGCGTATTCATATATCGAGATAAAGTACCGTGTTTCTGCGATGCATTATTTAAAATAGTAAACAATGCTCAGTGATGATTTAACAATGATAAAATATACCTAATATATATATTTCAGTTGATTTGTGTAAAGAAGATGGTATGTAAATGGTTTATATTTATTTCTATTCTTATCTCTCTTTTGCATGTTTATTTTTTCCCAACTTTTTATCACTTTTCTTTACACATTTCTGTTACACCGTGAAATGTCTATCTTTTATATAATATTATGTAAGACGGGGTCACTATATTCTCTCACTGTGTCAGCTGAATGTATAGAATATGCGCATATTGGAAGATATATAATGACATAAATATACCGTACTTTCGACGCACATTTACTTTTAATGAAGCTACTTTAATACGGGTCCGAGTCTTTACGTAAATACGCCATATATGTATACGTCATATAATATGTATAGTCACGTTTAACACTAACGTCTAGAAGATAATCGGTCTGCTAAACCATTACCTAAATAATAGACACAATACCCGTTTTCTTATCTTAACTTCTTTTATCTTAATTTTTAGGAAGAATTATTTCCGGGACCCCTTAATTTGATGGGTGCATTTGATAGATTTTTTACCGAGAAAAAGAATGCCGCAAACCATAACGCACTACGATCAATAGTTTTTAAGATATCAATATCTCAAAATTTTAATTTTGGTAAATATGCATATTAGGTCACACCTTGCCGATGACTTTGATCTTGACATATGTTGTTAAGGACATGACCCTGAGTAACTTTTCCTTATAACTTAACCGGCATTTTAGTTTTAACTCAGAAATAGGTTTGGGTTACATTATATCTTCCGGAAGTGGAGCCCCTCCGTAGGGGGGACGGAACCCACTGTGTCCACGCATATACTTTACAACGCGAAGCGAGGTCCACCCCACGATTGTTTTGTGGATGGGAAAGTGTATGCGTGCATGCAATGGGTTCCGCCTCCCCTTTCTAGGGGGTCTCTACTTTCGGAAGATATAACCTAACTCAAACCTATTTCTGATTTAAAACTAAAATTTGGTTTGGGTTAGGTTATATGCAAATCCAATTTTAATGTGAAATCAAAAATAGGTTTGGGTTAGGTTTTTTACTTTGAAGGTCATAAACAGACTAGTACGACGTACATAAACACGACTGCTCCTAATATCAGTTTATAATGCCTAAGGAAAAGCATTAAAATTGTCAAACTTGAATTTGTTATATTTTCTAAACCAATGCCGTTCGCTACTTGATTCTTGCGGGGAATTACTCAGAACACTCCTCTCTACTTATTTAATAATTTAAAAAATTATAGAAATTGGGGGTGTCTCCCTATCTCTATATAATTACTCAAATTTTAACTTTAAATATTTCAGAAATTATAAGAGACCACCGATTAAGTTATATGGAAAAGTTATTCAGGGTCATGTCTTTGACAACATATGTCAAGGTCAAAGTCATCAGCGAGGTGTGACCTAATATGCATATTTACCTTTTATTTTTATTTTTTTTTTTTTGAAAAAATATATCGAGATCTCAAAATTTTTGCATAATGCAACAAATGAATGCAATAATCGCCCCATTCGTAATGTGCAGATAGAGCGGGTTAAACCGAGTAGGAAAGTTTTTTACTATTTCACGATTTTTGTAATAATTATTGAGAAATTAATTAAAAAAGATTTACCAATTCGCGCGAGTATAAGCGCACAGCGAGAAGAGACAATCCAAAAGTAGGCGTGCGATAAAGTTTTGGGAGGAGCGCTCTACAAATCACAACAGTTGTACAAACAATGTACAAACGGTACGATGGATTCTCGCGTCTTAGCAACCACATATCAGATCATCCTTTCTCATCGCGCGATAATATTCGCGCGAATTGGCCGATGTTTTTAAATTAATTTCTCATTAATTATTGCAAAGATCGCAAAACGGTAGAGGACTTTTCTATTCGGTTTAATCTGCTCTACCTGCACATTACGGGTGGGGCGATTATTATCAGACACCCTGTATATGTATATAAAGAATAATAAGTAAAATGAGAATAATAAGTAATCATAGTAATACTTAAAGTAAAGATTCACCTCTCGGACATGGGTTGGGTTAGGTTAGTTTTTTTCGGGGCTGGAGTGCAGAGGGGGGGGGGGGCTTCGTCCTTCCCTCACCTACGCGTTCGATTTTTCTACACATAAATAAATGAATCTATTAAGAATACATTTTATAAAACATACATGGTGTCAGAAAATTACTATCAATTGTTATGGCAAAAGTATTACTGTAATTACGATTTTTAAAAATCGATACCTCGAAAACTATGGATCGTAGCGCATTGTGGTTTGTGGCATTCTTCTTCTGATAAAAAATTCTATGAAAATGACCCATCAAATAGAGGAGTTCCGGAAATAACATTCTTGCTTAATTTTCTGATTAAATTTTTTGTGTAACTATTTTTACCAAAAAATATCTTTTTCTTTCTAATTTTATCTTATTTTTATTTAATACATTCTTTCGAATAATTTCGGAGAAAAATCAAAATTTTTTATTAATTTCTCGCGAATAAAAGCTGAAAAAATTAATACAGCTGTCTATCAAATTGATGTTACTCTCTCTCAGACAATGAAAGAAATCACATTACGTCCAAAGTATTAAAGATGCGACGAAAGTATAGGTTAAAGTGTTTATCGCGGAGAGAATAACCGGGAAAATCTTTCTTACGAAAGATAAAGCAACGGCAGCTTCTATGAGATATGTCGCTTCTTAGCTTTAGTGTTAGATAATTTTTGTTTATCTATTTATGGTGCCGAGAGCCGTTTCTGCTTGATTGGGATTTTTTTAAAATTTATTTTCGAAGCTACAAAAATGTCAACAGTGTAAAACAGACGAGATACACGACACCATAATTGTTTCTTCTTGTTTCGACAAAAACGAAACGATTCGCCAGCGATCGAACAAGCTACTTCTTCTTAGACAAGTGGGGCTTTGCGTAAGCTTCTTAAAGCTTGCCGACGAAGGAACAAGGAACAATAATCGTTCGTTTGATCGTATTTGTGCTTCTATACAGGGTATCCCACCCGTACAGGCCTTTTAAGAAAAAGGGAAGTGGATTTTATCAAAAATTTTGATGACTAAATCGGATATGTTCTATTGTATGATGATATTTTCAACTTTTGGTACCGACCGGAATGGGTCTATCCAGACCGAAAGTCAAATTTTTTAAATGAAATATGACACTTTTTATTGCAGATTCGGATTCCCCGGCGAAAAATAAAAAAACTTGTCCTAAACATTTTTTTTCTAAAATGCCTTCATTGATCCTGAAATGATACACGCGCTAACTCGCCTAGAAATGCAGTTAAAATTTATTTTTTCATCACATTTTCAAGATTATTTCCAGATTATTATTAAATGTTTAATCCTTTATGTTAATAAAATTTTTTAATCATGTTACTACAATTTATCTTTTTCTAACTATGTTATTGAAATAATGACAAATTTATTAAATTTGTTTATTCATTTAAATAAAATTGTTTATGTTTATGTGTAATCCGAATTTGCAATAAAAAGTGCCATGTTCCATTCAAAAAATTCAACTTTAGATCTGAATAGCCCATTTCCTATCTAGCTATTCTATTTTCGTAAATCACACTTTAAAAATCATTTCAAGGTTGATGGAGGCATTTTAGAAAAAAATATTTGGGACTAAAGTTTCTTATTTTTCGCCGGGAAATCCGAATCAGCAATAAAAGGTGCCATATTCCATTTAAAAAATTTGACTTTCGGTTTTGGCCTATGATCATAGGCCATTTCCGATCGACCGGAAATTGAAAATATCACCATACAATAGAACGTACCCAATTTAGTCATCGAAATTTTTGCGATTTTTGATAAAATCCATTTTACTTTTTCTTAAAAGATCTGTACTGGTTAGGGACACCCTGTATACCTCTGGCTTACATATTTTTCTTGGCGCACCATTACTATTTTCGAGGGCAACCATCCGTATCATGTGATACACAAAAGTGACTTTATCTTATATTTAGCGATATTTTATAACATGCACGCGCCTGAATAATACATAAGATTTGTAGCTATATGTATATA